GACGGAGAGGAGAGAGCTAGAGAGGGATAGATAGAGAGAGCGAGAGAGGAGAGAGGGGTGGGGTAAGCAGACAAGAGAGGTACAGAGACAGGCAGACCAGAAATACGACTGACAAGCAAACTGATCTAAAGTCGAGAATGAAAAAAAAAAGAGGAAAAAAGTTGCTTTTGGGCCATCCAACCGTAAACAATATTGAAGTCACAAGGCCCCCACGCCAGAAAGACTCCACATGAATTCATTTCGCCACGGCCATGCAAAAAGATCCAGTTACATTTCCATACGCGTTCAAAAAGAAAACGTAACGAGTACCAAAATACTTGTCTTGTTTTATCGTCGTAAGGCTGATACCTTTCATTTTTACAACTAATACCGTTTCTTTGTGTTATCTAATTGAGGGCGATGGTTATGCATCAGATATGGAAGGAGACATGGACTTATAAAGCTGCAAGAGCATTATAACGGGGGTTTCAGAGTGAGTATGCGACATCTAGCAAGATTGCACAAACCGAAGTTCAATAAAGACATCAGTTCGCGATTGAAGAAAAAAAAGCTTCTCACCTGTTCAAGTTGATTCGACGTGGTAGCTCCTTTCTTTTCTTCTGCATCGAGTGTGAGTCAACATTATGTGAACGTCTAGTGATGCTATGTGGTTAAAGTCGAAAGAAAAGTGCCGTCCGGGTTGGGATTTGGAAATTCACTTATGGATAAGCTGTGCCTTAAGAGAAAACAGTTCCTTCGAATGGGAATATTTGGTTGTTTTTTTATGTCAAGATAAGTATGTATTTTATAGTATATATATAATTCTCTCTCTCTCTCTCTCATCTCCTCTTTCTCTCTCTCCTCTTCTCTTCTCTCTCTCTCTCTCTATATATAATAGATATATATATATAGATATTATATATATATACCACACCACACACAACGACACACCACACACACAACACCACACACACACACACACACACACACACACACTTACACACACACACATGTAAGTTTTATACACATACACATTCATATATATATATATATATATATATATTATAATATATATATATATATATAATATATATAATATAAACACATTGTATATATTTTATACATGTGTATACATACTACTAAATACATACATATATGTAAATATATATACATACATACATACACCAGCAATGTGTGTGTATATATAATATCTAAATCTGTATGTAATACACACCACACACACACACACCACACACACCACACACACACACACACACACACACACACACACACACACACACACACACACACACACACACATAGATCATATATATATAATGTAATGTAATATTGTTATAATTGTATGTATGTATGTATATTTGTTGTAGTTATATATATATATATTATATATATATATATAATATATATATATATATATCAAACACACCACTCTCTCTCACACACAACACCACACACACACGCACCCACACACCACACACACGGCACAAACACACACACACACACACACACAGCACACACACACACACCACACACCACACACACACACACACACAACACGCATACACGCACACTACACACGACACACCACACACACATCAACACCCACACACACACACACCCCACACATAGATATATATATTATATATATATATTATATATATCTATAGATATATTATATATCCCAAAGTATTTATTTATTATTTTAAAATTTTTCTTCCGCTTCAACATATTAAGGTCCTACAAAATAGAGCGACTTCATTTAGAATTATAGTAAAAAGTGTAAAGGTAGTAAACGATTAGGGATAAGTGGACAGAAGAAGGATTGAAAAATAGGAAAAGGGAAGAAAAGAAGAAACGACGCGGCTGAGGGCCAGTCAGTGCAAGAATATATATATAATATATATATATATATATATATCTATATATATATATATATATTATATCTAGGTACAACACATACATACTTGTATATTTACGAGATTTCTCGCTACTTCTGTCTCTCGGTCTCTGGCTCTGTTTCAGTTCCTCTCTGTCTCTGTTCGGTCGTATCTACTTATCTTTACTGTCTATATCTCTCTGTCTTTCTGTCTATTGATTTTATCTCTGTCTATCTATCTATGGGTAAATTTAACACATATTGGTTTGTGTGTGTTTACCTGTCGATATCTTATATTCTTACTTGGCTTATAGACAGGTTTCGTACTTTTCCCCCGATAGCACTGTCCTCAGTCAATCAAAAAAAACGAGAATTTAAATTGATTTCAATCGACTCATTAAAGTCGTCAGAACCGCTATTTCCATCAACTTTTTTTTTTCTCTCCTTCATACAGAGACAAAAAAGGCAAAAGGGGTCCGCAGTGGTCAGGTGTTGGCAATGGCGACGTGATGTTAGCTGCTTTATCGTGGGCAGCTCCACAGACTCTTTCCTTCTGCACACCTGTTCCTTCGTGCAGTCGCTGGTGTCATCATGATGTTGACGGTTCTTGTACTGCTGTCAGGAAGAGAAGGCGGGTGAGTTTGTTCTGTTCGTAAGGCATGCTTGTATTACACATACGCGGATGCCATTTAACAAGTGCACACACGCGAACAAATACGAATACATGCATGCATAATACAGTTTATACGCAGCGCAAACGCACACGCACCACAAACACACATACACACACGCACGCACGACATCACGCACTCACGCACGCACACACACACCACACAACACCACACACACACCACACACACACACACACACACCACACACACACGACACACACCCCACACAACACATATACACACTTTGGGGGGTTTCGCGCTGCCTCATTTTTATTATTGCAATAGTTGTAACTATAATCTTTGGCTAGTATTATCCATCACCATCACCATCGACTCCCATTCATCACCATCACCATCACCCGTTACCTCATCATCATCATCACCCCCCCCCCCCCCACCCCCCGCACCACCACCACCAATAATTATCATCTTTACCACCAATCACCACCCTTTGCAACCATCGTCCTGACTTTCCGTGGTTTCTCCCATCTCTTAAAAACCGGGTTCGTGCCCTTTTTTTTACCCAGGCGCCCACAGTGGGAAATGCCCATGACACAGCAAATCCAGCCTCACGATCAAACATTCTGGACACAAAAGGAGGAGACGGCCCTTCACTGCGATAGAGACGAGATTGCACAATAGCAAAATGTTGCTTCTACAACAATTCAGACGCAACGAATCTGCCGCAATGTGTAGTGTCTCTGGACGGGGTACACTGTCGTGCAATATTGTTCTTGTATTGTGTACAATGCAAGAGCGTTCAGATAATAAATGGCTTCTGGCTATTGATGGAATTGATTTGTATACATATGGGAATTAATCCACTAAGTGTAAGTGGCACATACATATATGTTACTAAAATCACACACACACAAACTTACAGACAGATAATGACATTGCTAATATGTAGCACAAACCCATCCATACCCACGTCCGTGCACGTCGGGGACCAGATAAATGTTAAAGGTGTTATGTGAATAACAGAAACACTAAGTTCTCACATAAACACTAATAATGATAGCAGTGCAAGTTCAGAAGACGAATCTGACTACACTATTCAAATAACCACAGCACTTCATAAAAGAAGAAGATTTTTTTTTTTTTTAATAACTTGTTAATTTAAGCCCGCGAATCTCTAGACCCCCATTTATAGGCGTCTGCGATATAAATTCTAATACGATTTTTATTTAAGAACACGTCCGTGGTCATTTATAGTATTTCTTAGATTACTTCCAATGTTGATGTATATTTTACCTATCTCTAATCTCTTATTCTAAACTTCTACCATCAGACGAGTGGAAAAAAGAAAGTTTTTCTAAATTATGGCTTACGTCTTCCTCCTCAGTCTGTCCTTCTGGTTCCCCTTAAAATTATTTTTAGAGAGATTTACATCGATAGGTTATATTCTCCAAAATCACATTTATTAAGGTGCTTGTCATAATTACAAAGACTTCACTATTTATGATTATATTTTGATTTGTTTAATACTATTCTATTAATAGTCGATTTTGTTACGACTGCATTATGAAAATCCAAACGTTCATTTTCTATTCTATAATTCTTGAAGTATGTAATTGCTTTAATAAGGTGGCTAAAAAAATGCCGTATATATTACGTTCCTTTATCAAAGGTGTAAGGATGTACAATAATAAAAACAATACACACACAAATCGCACACATACACACACACACATATCTTTATCTATATTATATATCATATATATAATATCATATATATATCATATATATATATATAGTATATATATATATCTATATATATATATATATATATATATTTGTATATCTATATAATATATATATATATATATACATATACTATATGTTATATTATATAGTTATATGTATATTATATATTCTATATATATATATATATATAATATATATATATATGTATATATCTATCTATATTATATATAGTATATCTGTTATATATTATATATCTTCTATATAGTATACTATATAAGGATATATATATATATATACTATATATATCGATTATATATCTATATGTATAAGATATATATTGTTATATATATATATGATATATATCAATATATAAATATTATATATATAATATATATTATATATATATATAACCTATCATACAGACATGTTTAATGCACCAAGATCACTGTTATGCATATCTTTACAAAACAAATCCCATTCAATTCTAGTACTGAACAATACATCGCTATATGTCTGCATACTCAAAGGACATAATAATCGCTTCAGGTCTGTTTATACAATGAACACACCGACTGTTATATGTCTGTGGACAAAATGAACATGATTGTTATATGTGTACACAATCAACACAATAATTGCAATATGTATATGACCCTAATAAACATCATTATCGACTCTTCCTGTGATAATAGAGTTTGAAATCCCTAAAGCAAAATTAATTAACGCCCTTAAAATCAGGATCTGTC